AGGGTGGACCAAGATGGTCCGAAACGTACCTGCGGAAGGGTACCTTCCCATAGGCACAGCGCATAGTACGCATAAATTTGGACAGCATAAAGGCTGCAGTGGGTATCCGGGGTGAACCAATCAGAAGATATCACGCCATCCCACTCTATCGCGTCATGCAGCTTGTAAATAGTGGCCAGATAATCTATTCTGATTGGCTGGTCTCCCCAGAATTGACTGCGCAATTATACGCATTGGGAATAGTGCGCCACCTTGATCCGCCCTCGGCCGACGAAACTCCAAAACTCCCCCTGCTGATGTCAACCGTCATTGTGACTGGCCCTTCGAACCAGAATCTCGAAAGTTTGGGAAGTTTGGGAAGTTTGGGAACTCGGGAAGCCTGAAATCTGAAAATTGAAGTAGATGATGTGATGGACACCAAACTTCGGATTGGACCGGCCAACAATGGGATTCAGCGTTATCATCTTATCGTAGATAAACCGATTCCAACGTGGAAATCCATCCATGGATTGACAACGGAAATATCACGTAGACGTCTGACGCCTTTACCAAGGATAAGGAATGCCTGGAAGGTTCATGAAACTTGGAGAGCCTGGTCGATTGGACCATTACAATACCAGTATTCATTCCGTACGTTACCAGTTTCCCCGGGAGACGGAAACGGGCCAAGGACCTCGGGTGCCAGTCAAATTAGGTGGGCGGTGCAGATCACACGGATGAACAGCCCACGAGGGAAGACCGGTATGTTACGGTACCAGACCGTACAGCCAATCAGTTCGCCTCTCCAATTCCCCTCACGGGCTTTACACCACCTCTCTCTCCCTGGCTCCTTCTATCTCTCCTTTATACCATCATCCATCTTCCTCTTCTATCATCTCTTTTTTTCGCTACTCCTATATTCCATCTCTCCCGCCTTTCCACCTTCTCCGATCCTCTGTCTGCCATCACTTATCCGTCACCTTTCTATCACTTCCTACGATTCCAAGGTTGCCAAGATCGCTGTGTCTGCTTGCCATTAACTTCAAGACACTACCAACCCTGGACGGTCTATACTCTTCTCTCTCGACAACATCCAAGCTCCAAGGTCTGATCCCGATTCGCCTTGAGCAAAGAGTATCTCTCTCGCCTTGCCGTCCTAAACCCCTTTCCCTCGGTCTTCCGGGTCCACCCTAAGCTCGGGTGACTCACTTCCATCAACTTGATAAAAGGGTCCAAATCTTGGTCTGTCGGATACCCATTGTGCTATCAATACCTCTAGCCTTCGTCACTTCAATATACACGAAGGTGTTGCCTGCGTTGCGGGTAACCATACGTTTCCTCGGTCGAACCTTGTCGTGAGAGCACTTCGGGAATTTCATACCTCAGGGGCAACCTGGCAACGAGTATCTCTACTTTTCCTGCTTGGATTAGAAGGGTGCTCTACCGGATCCCTCAATTCGCCCAGCCAATTTGCGCCAATAATTCTATCTGGCCTCTCATGACTCACTAATCTCAACTATCTTCAACTTGAGTCATAGCCTTCGACCTTGAACCCGGTGTTCATAGGATTCCTTTTCTTCTTCTTCTTCTCATATACATCTTTGACCTTTTTCAATTACGATATTACGCAGCGCTTTATCTCAACTCTCTTCAATTCGTCCGGTATCAGGCCGACTTTCAAACACTTGTCCATCTCTTGACACATTCGTGTCGTCCACCTGGGTCCCCTTCCCGTTAACCAACGAAAAACGAAATACAAATGAGCACATAACGGTCTTTACCCATTTCCTTAGCGTCAACAACCCCTGTCCGGGTTCATTCAACTGCGCCACTGCGCCATCATTCTCTCCTCTTTTCATCTGTCTATCAACTTTCACCAGTACATCTTTTTATATGACCTTTCGAGCCAGTCAGGATTCCGTTCACCTCAATCTCCCGACTACACCCGGCTCTTCTTTTCGTCCATCCCTATCTATCTTGGATCCCGCGCCTGATACTTCTCTTCGTTGTCTTTAATCTTCATTAGCCTGGTTGCTTTTTGCTTATCACACTTCAACGCATTCTGAACACGCGCCAGTGTTCTTTTGAGCGGCCCATAGATTTGTTTTCACTTCATCTCTTTGTTGGAGCATCACATCATTCCGCTCCCCCATTTCATCTCATCTCTGAATCCGTCCTTCTCGGAATCATCAGGCCAACATGTCGATCATGGAGTGCTCGAAAGAAGAATTCGTTGAGGGCCAACTTTTGGATGATCGTTTTCGAACTGTGGCCCCCCCTCAACCATGGGTCTTTTGGAATGGTATTCCTTGCCATGGATACCCAGACAGGCCAAGACGTTGCTATCAAACGTCTACTCAAGGGCCCCTCAACGAGTTCCGATGACGATCGCTTCGAAGAACTAGAGTGTCACCGACGCTTTGGTTTCCATCCGAACCTGGTCAACTTGGTTCATACATTCGACACCGAGACTCATAAATATCTTGTTTTGGAGTATTGCGCCAATGGCGATCTATACGAGGCCATCCGCCTTAATCGTGGTCCATTGGAGACTGAGCACGTTCGGGATTTCATGCTTCAGCTGATTAGTGCCGTCGACTTCATGCATGTCAAAGGCTTGTATCACCGTGACATCAAGCCGGAGAATATCTTCCTGACACAGGATGGCTCCATGAAACTCGGCGACTTTGGTCTCGCTACCGAAGACTCGTGGTGTCACGAGGCGTGTGTTGGCAGTGACCGCTACATGGCCCCCGAGCAATATGATCCGAGCACGACAGGATACTCTCCCGCTAAGGCCGACATCTGGTCTGTGGGTATCTGTCTGTTGAACATTCTGTTTGCCCGGAATCCCTTTGTCACCCCCACCGAGTCCGATGTACTCTTTGCAGATTACGTGCGCGATCGCCAGTCGTTGTTCGATATCTTCCCCAACATGTCCCAGGATACTTACGAGATTCTGACGCATGCCTTGACCATTGATCCCTCCAAGAGGTCCTTGTCGGAGGTGCGTGATTGCATTCTCCGCGCCGTCTCTTTCACTACCGACGACGAATCTCTCGATGAGTTTTGCACCGAAGATCGCGAGGTGGTTGCCGCCAGCGCCAACCGCGAACCTCTTCGCACCCCCTCTCTCCAGAGCCCCCTTGTTAACCAGGGAGATTCTTTCCCCTGGGCAAAGGCGCTCCAGTCGAGCCCTCCCCAGGCTATTCGACAACTATCTGCCATCCCGGACAACGAGAGCTATACCGAGGATCTGTTCCCGGCTTCCGAAGCTGCGGGAAGCTCATGGTTCTCGTCTCATATGGAAACTCCATCAGTAGCTTCTGTTCTGGACTCTCAGCTCAGTGAATCGTTCGTTTTGCTCAACCTTCGCAAGCGTGAGGTGCCGCGTCTTCCTCGCTCTGATCCGGTTTCCATCACCGGATCACTGCCGTCTCATGCAACAAAGCCCCTGCCTTCTTTGTCGATGGTCTTTGGCAACAACAAATCTGCCGACAAGATCTCGAAGAGCTGGTGCGACATGTGGGACGAGGAGGAGTCCGAGAATGAGGATCTGGCTGTGATGCAACAACGACGGGAGCAGAACTCTCGCAGCTGGAGTCAAGAGAGCCAGGGAGCTGCCATCCCAAGGTTGCGCGAGCCGGACTCCGCTTCCCTCAACCAGTGCTCTCAAGGCTCAGATGTGGATCTGAAGATGGAACCTCATGTACTAGGGGATCTTTCTCTGGACGAAGACAGTGACTCTAGCACACCCCGCCCCATGCGGAATTCCCCACCCGAGCAGTCTAGTGCTGATAAGTGGTCGATGCTTGGTGAGGTGCGACGCAAGTACAAACCCGAGGACGAATCGCGCAAGTACAAGCCTCGCAAGTCGCGTGAGGTGTTTGGTCCCAAGAGCGTTGCTGCGAACAGTCGGCGACACGATTGGGGTCGAGGCACCTCCGGATACCACCAGACGAAAACCAAGCCCGCATCGCCCGTGGACAATCGCCGCCGCCATTTGATCGAACAACAAGATTGGCGCAGCAATGTCTCCCAAAGTTTCCTACCTCCTGACGATGGAAGCGTCGATGACGATCTTGATCTCGTCGGTGGGTGGCATGAGACTCACTTCTAGGGTTCTCGACATTCCCTCGCACTTCCCTCTACTTTTACCCTCTACTCCCCTCAATGTTGGTGTCTGCTTGCATGTTTCGATTCAGTTGGGAAAAAAAAGTTCAAAATTACCCACGATAAATTAATGTTCCGCTTTGTCTTATGTCTCTTTGTTCTCGGATTGAGTGTTTCATTTGTTTCCGTCCGTCCTCAACGGTGCATTGCCACATGCATTGCATCACCCTCCTTCGTCCAAACTGTTTTTTTTTATTCTTTCTTCCTGTACAATATCAGACCGAGGGTCACGGACACGGACGGAGACAACGAATACGAAAAACCACAAAAAGGTTAGAAGGCTGGCTCGGAATGCGCTGGTGGATATATGACTCTGGCGGGAGACCTTCTTCGCATACGAACTACATGGTTGGCGTGGATTCTTCAGGGAAAAGGTGGAATGAGTTGCGGTGAAGTCGATCTGGCCTAGCAGGATGACTTGAAACGCGGCCGTTTTCTCTTCGTGTTGTACTGTAACTAGTTATTTGGCACAAAAGGGAAATTGATTACCATCCGCGAAGAATTGGGTTCTTTGTAAATTAGTAGATTCGTAGTCTGTTGTAGTCGCATCTGGGCATAATATTGTACCATATCCCTCTTCGAAAGGCGGTCAGAGCCCGTTGAGCCCGTTGAGCCCGTAGATGCCACTGGTCCCCCTCTTGCCCCATTCCCCATTCCTTTCTGGAGACCGCTATTTGTCGGCAAGCTTGGGGTTGGTCAGTCGCAATATCTCGCACTTAAAGAAATAAATAAAAATCTCCCGAGTCAACTGCTCTTACCCCCAGTCACAATGCGCATAGCGCGGTCGAATACATAGCTGAACTCAGGGAGCTATACAAGTGTGACTATCTGATCATCAGACCGACAGCATGCTGACCGCAGGCCGGTCATTGACTTTCTGGATATACCCAGCCCCAGTCCTTTTGGCCCTCTGCCATAACGCGCTCTCCACTGCGACCGCCCAGCCGCCCACAAACGGCGCGCAAGCTGCTCTCCCCACTACACCGGTGACAACATGTTCGACGAAGACTACCTGGCAGACAGAGGCGGAGCTATTCAACCTGCCGCCATGTCTGGAGACGCGCTGGGGACCGGGTCGCGATATGTATCTTGCTTCGGTATCACCCGATCTAAGTGCAGCAGCCAACGATCCAGTCGTCAATTCATCTGCCGTCTCGAGCGGGACGCCAGAAGCGACAGCTAAAACGACTCCAGATCAGAACGCAGAACAGGACCAAGACACAGACTCGCTATTGGACGGTGCTAGTTTCCTCTCATTTGAGGACTGGAAGAAGCAGAATTTAGCGAAGGTCGGACAATCAGCCGAGAATGTCGGAGGGAGCAGACGTGCCGCGGCAGCTGGAAAGGAAGACCGTCGACAGCCAACAGGAATTAATAATGCATTGGATTCGCTGGGTGACGATTCCGAGATCGAGTTGGACTTTGGTGGCTTCGGCGCTGAGACGCCCGAGGCTAGTCCTACCGCTTGGGGCTCGCATATCCCGTCGCGTGACGGACAGGCGGGGAATGCGGGTAGAAGAGGTGGCGGGGATGTACATGGACAGGGTGCGCTCCAGAGAGATACGTCGCGCCGTAAGGATGCTGGCACTACTTGCAAGGAGCGATTCAACTATGCTTCCTTTGACTGCGCGGCTACAGTGTTGAAGACGAATCCCGAGTGCAAGGGTTCGTCTTCTGTGCTCATTGAGAATAAGGATAGCTATATGCTTAACGAGTGTCGCGCTAAGAACAAATTTCTTATCCTGGAACTGTGCGATGATATCCTGGTTGATACGGTTGTTCTTGCAAACTATGAGTTTTTCAGCTCTATCTTCCATACATTCCGGGTGAGTGTCTCGGATCGGTATCCTGCGAAACCAGACCAGTGGAAGGAACTTGGGGTTTATGAGGCACGCAACACTCGTGAGGTGCAAGCGTTCGCAGTAGAGAACTCGCTTATCTGGGCTCGATACCTTCGAATTGAGTTCCTTACGCACTATGGGCATGAGTTCTTCTGTCCCGTCAGCTTAATTCGGGTGCATGGTACCACCATGATGGAAGAGTACAAGCATGGCGAGAGCTCTGACCGCGCCGAGGTTGAGGAGTTGGAGGCCAGTGAAGCTAATCAGCTTCCCGAAGATGTGGAAACCAAGCCCGTCGAGGTACCGGTCGAGAAGATCATTCCTGCGGTGGAACCTGGCCTCATAGTGGATGCGATTTGTCCGATCCCTCTATCAGAGGCTGTGTCACCTTTTGCGAAACTCAACGATATGTGCGATATTAATGATGGGCCACCTGTTGCAACTCCGACGTCAGACAGAGTGGCTCAGACCAATCTACCACCGAAACAGAACTCTACTGCTGCAGTTGGAGGCAGTCCCTCCGCGACCAATGTCGGACCACTTCCCACACCAAAGGCCGAGGATACTCGAAAGCAGGGTGAGCCTGCCAAAAATGCCGTGACCTCTCCGGATGCCTCAAGCATATCTTCGGAGCCTACTCAGAAGAACGCCACATCCGAGACAGGGAAAGCCACAACCCATCCTAAAGAGGAGCAGAACATTCCTCCCCCAGAGTCGACGAGACCTACAAACACTCAACCGCCATCTGCAAACCCCACGACCCAAGAATCCTTCTTCAAATCTGTCCACAAGCGGCTCCAGATGCTTGAATCGAACTCGACCTTGTCTCTTCTTTATATTGAGGAACAGTCTCGCATCTTGCGTGATGCGTTCAACAAGGTTGAGAAGCGGCAGCTAGCAAAGACCTCGACCTTCCTTGAAAACCTCAATGTAACTGTGCTCAACGAATTGAAAGAATTCCGCGAGCAGTACGACCACGTCTGGAAGTCCGTTGCTCTTGAATTTGAGCACCAGCGCATGGAATACCACCAAGAAGTCCACTCCCTCAGCAGGCAGCTCGGTGTCCTTGCCGACGAACTAGTTTTCCAAAAGCGAGTCACCGTGATCCAGAGCATCATGGTCCTCTGCTGTTTTGCCCTCGCCTTATTCTCGCGGGGGTCGGGAAACAACTATATGGAATTCCCCGCCGTTCAAAGAATGGTCGCGCGGTCCTACAGTCTGCGGTCTTCATCTCCACCTTTTGCCTCTCCATCGGCTAGCCCGGGGTCGACACGCCCAGCTTCATCTTCGTACCGCGAGAACAATGGCCATCGCAGAAATCTCTCTGACTCGTCCGACCAAGATAGCGCTGCTAGCCCAACCGCGGCCTATTCCCCGCCGACTCCTACGTCGTCTTCTCCAACAGATCGAGATGTGGAGGAGTTAGAGAAGGTGAAAGAACCTACCTCTCCCGAGTCTATGTCTTTGCCTACTCTGGGGACACCGCTACCCCGTGCTCACAGTACGCCACCTGTATTGAATGGGCGCCCTGCTGACCTGGATATGGATACGGCTGATGTCGACCCGGTTACCGATAATGCACGGTCGCCTGAGCTGTGATCGTTTAATGGCTGTAATGGCTATAATGGCATTAGCCGTATTTTTATGACCGTACATACTGATGTTTATTACTGCTTTGCTGTACACTGTACCCTATTGCGTGTACTATCAATGTTTAGATGATATGATTCCCACTGGTTTACTATGTTTACTATGTTTACTATGTTTGATTTGTTTACTGTGACCATTATTAGATTCATTTGAATTCCTTAAATCAAAAGACAATCAAAAGACAATCAAAAGACAATCAATAAACAAAGCCTGTAACATTTCCATGTCTAGTAGCAACATTGGAATATCCACGGTGTTGCGGGATTATGTGGCGTCATACTCGGTTGCCCAGCCAACAATCTCCCATTTTTCTCCAAACCCGTCGACCTTTTTCATCTTATCCGCCTTGTTCTTAACCTTCTCTCAATCTCACACTGTACATCTCTCCACATCCAAATCTCTACATATCAAAATGGACGCCACCACACAAGCTCAGCCTCTGGCCGACCGCTCAACCAACACCCGCCTGAACGCGAGCGACAAGACCGACCTGAAGGGTTCGGACATTTCATCAATGGAATACCACCGCCAGGTGTTGCAGGACAAAGTCACAGGCGAGGAGTGAGTATTCCCAGCGTTCTTTCTCTTATAATTCAATTATACAAAAAACTAACCCATCACAGACAACCTGCCTCCTACGTCTCCCCCTCAGACGATATCATGAGCCCCTGTACAAAGAAGTTGAGCGATATCAAGGGCAAGCGGTTCAAGAAGTTTGTGATTTCCTTCTGCTATACTTGAGACTCTTTTGGACCTAAACTAACACTCTCCAGCGCCGGCAAGCCCCAGTCGCTGTTCGCTAAGCTCGGCAAGAAGAGCTACGAGCAATCCACAGCCGAACAGGGTCGGACTGAAAATTAGAAGACCTCGGTCTTTGAGATGTTTCTTTTTTCTTCTTTTCTTTTTCTTCTTTCCACTCGGACTTTGATTCTATGGTCTTTCCTTCAATCTCTTTTACTCGGCGCCGGTCGCTGGGTCGGATGCATTGAGGAGAGGCAGATTTGAGATCTTGGATATCGGGCCTTGAGTTGGTATTCTTCCATGTTCTTTTTTTTTGTGATGACCTGCAATGCCTTTTTGTTTTGTGTACGGGGTATGGGATGGATGGAACTGTAATTGGGATATCTCATGGAGCACATTGGAATGCAATGACTTGGGATTTTTGTTTTTTTGATCACTTGGGTTGGCGTAGTTGTGTATTTCAGACTACTAACTCCTTAGGACTGCTCCTGACCTCGCTCCATTTTCTCTATGGTTATATTTCCCGAGGTCCTTTAGTAACGTTTGCATTAAAAACCCTGTATAGACTGAATAGTTGGTTATTCTTGAGCATGAGTGCCCTTGACTAGATACAGCAGAAACTGCAATCTTCAGAACTCGATGCATTAGGGTCATAGTGACTAGGTGTCTTTCTGACTTTGAATTTCCCTTTCGAATTGATTTTGCTCTGGATACACGATGTTTCAGCTCTATTTATGCAATCGAATGATTAGCTTGTACACATATCCGAAAGGTATCGGAGAAGTGGCCGAATGTAGACAACCTGACAAGTTGACCGGTTAGTCCTGAGCCGAGGCTGAACATAATCCGTCGGCTTCTCCACCTTCTCCGCAATTGAGGGTTGACCTCTTTATATTTCCCTTATATTCTCGAGACTCTGTTTTGGAATAATCACAATTCAAAATGTCTGCTTCATCTCGTATTCCCCCTATTGCCCAGCCGTTCGTCAGCGAACAGGCCAAGCGGACCCTTGATCTGGTAAATACCCCAACCATTTGTTTAATAACCAGTGCTAACATAACTCTAGGTTGAGGAATTCGTTGAAAAAGACTGCATCCCCGCCGACACAGTCTTCGCAGCCCAGCTCGGTGAAGGCGAGAAGCGATGGACCACCAACCCCGCCGTCTTGGAGGGCCTGAAGGAGAAGGCCAAGAAGCTCGGTCTGTGGAACATGTTCCTGCCTAAGAACCACTTCACCCAGGGCGCTGGATTCTCAAACTTGGAGTATGGATTGATGGCCGAGTTGCTCGGCAAGAGCAAGATCGCCTCGGAGGTGGGTTATTCTGTTCTTTGTCTGGATTATGTTGATCGCGGGGAGCTCCTCCGAACTAATATGATTGATCGCTGACCACCATGTCTATCACCAGGCTACCAACAATGCTGCCCCAGATACCGGCAACATGGAAGTGTTCGCCAAGTATGCTAACGACGCACAAAAGAAGCAATGGCTTGCACCCCTGCTAGAGGGCAAGATCCGCTCTGCTTTCCTGATGACCGAGCCGGACGTCGCCTCTAGCGATGCCACAAATATCGAGCTTGAGATTCGTCGGGAAGGTAATGAATACGTGCTGAATGGCTCGGTACGTATCTTTTATCACCCCAATAACCCACTTATCCCCAAATTCTAACCCAACTACAGAAATGGTGGTCCTCCGGCGCCGGTGATCCCCGCTGCGCAATTTACCTGGTAATGGGCAAGACCGACGCCTCCAACCCAGACACCTACAAGCAGCAATCCGTCATCCTCGTCCCAGCTGGACTCCCCGGCATCACGGTGCACCGAATGTTGACTGTATACGGATACGACGATGCGCCACACGGCCACGGCCACATCTCATTCAAGAACGTCCGCGTCCCCGCCTCCAACATGGTCCTTGGTGAAGGTCGTGGGTTCGAGATTATCCAGGGTCGCCTGGGACCCGGTCGCATCCACCACGCGATGCGTACGATTGGCGCCGCTGAGCGTGCGCTCGAGTGGATGATTGCCCGTGTCAACGACAAACGCAAACAGACGTTCGGCCAGCCTTTAGTTGCGCACGGCGTTATCCTCGAGTGGATTGCCAAGTCGCGGATTGAGATTGATGCTGCTCGTTTCGTTGTTCTGAATGCTGCGATCAAGATTGATCAGGGTAATGCCAAGGGTGCGCTGAAGGAGATCGCCCAGGCTAAGGTTCTAGTTCCTCAGACTGCGCTTACTGTCATTGATCGGGCCGTGCAGGCTTATGGTGCCGCTGGTGTTTGCCAGGATACCCCGCTTGCGTACTTGTGGGCTGGTATTCGTACTCTGCGTATTGCGGATGGTCCTGATGAGGTTCACTTGCAGCAGTTGGGTAAGCGGGAGAACAAGACTCGCAAGGATGCGGTAACTGCCAAGTTGAACTGGCAGCGTGAGGAGGCGGATCGTTTGCTTGTTGCTTCTGGGTTCAAGCCTAAGAGTCACCTTTGAGATCATGGATAGATATACCTAGTTTATGATATAGTCTGCTGCTTAGTTCGGTCGAAGAATGCACGAACATTGCTCCGTTTTTACTTGGGTTTTGGTAGTGGAGTCTTATGTTTGACTTGATAGTCTTACGGTGGAAGAGAAGTGATGTAAAATCAAGTGAATGAATGACTGGTATAAATCGTTATTCAACTCGTAAAATCCGAACGCCAAAAAGATGATTCCTCAACAAACATGAACATGGACATGGACATAAAACCTTCCCCGACATGACATGCAAATCCCATATATAGGACCATTTATCAATTCATTCATCATGAGCCCAAGAATGATACCTCGTAGAGTAGAGAAGGAGCGGTAGGATCTCCCTCGACCTGCGAGCGCAAGCAACAATGCAACAAAAGGAAATACAAAAAAAAAAAAACACTTTTTAGTAGTCGTCATCCTCAGGGTTGTTGCGCTTGCCCTTGGCTAGGCGCTTGTTTGCCTTGAAGTGCTTCTTGGTGTTGGTGCTGCCCTTCACTTCAGAGACATCCACACCACGCTCAAGAGCAACCATCATGCGCTCCTTGCGGCCTGTGGGCGCCTTGCGCATCTCCTGGCCCTGTTGAGTGTAGCGAGCCTGGAAGGGGAGGGTCAGACGGCCGGCGGAGGGGCCGGTTTCTGAGCCGAAAAAGCCCGTATCAAGGTTGCGGGAGGTGCGACCGAGCTCCGGCTCGACGGAAATCTGGACTGGATCATGGGGGTTCTCTGGGTCGACTTCACCGGTGGGGTCCGCAGTGAGATCTCCTGCGGTATGCTTTCCAATCTTGGCCTGCGTGAGCTGGGCTCGGCGTCTTTCGGGAAGATGAGCGAGGTCGTATAGGTCGCTGTTGAACTCAACGGTATCAATGGGAGTTTCGTTCTCGGCAACTGGGGGAGGATTGACCCAGAGAAGTTTGCCGTTGACATAGTCCTTGAGAACGTATCGTGCAGCGCGGGACTCATCGGGCTGACCAATACCCTGAGTAGAGAAACCGCGGGCGCGAGCATAGGCACGCAGAATCTCGCTGGCAGTGGGGACACCAGTGCCGCCTTCTTCGACGGGACGCATTCTGAGCTTTACACCGTACACCTGCTCAATGAAATGCTTGGGGATACGCTTGGCGACAATACCGGCGGGACCGGTGAACTCGCGCTGCTGATCGATGGGCAGCACACCGTTAACGACCAACTCGGCCTTAGTGGTAGCGAAGTTGGGGAACACGAGACCAGGACAATCGCACAGCATAATCTCGGGGGAGAGGTAGAGAGTCTGGAAATGCTTGGTCTTACCGGGCGTGGCAGAGACAGAGACCTTTTTCGCACCGAGAAGGGCGTTGATGGTACTGGACTTACCCACATTGGGGTAACCGACCAGACCGATTGTGGTCTTACGCTTGGTCTCGCCAGACTCGTCATCTTGCGGTAGTGATTCCGGGGAGTTGGCCAGGAAAAGTTCTTCCAGTTCTTCAGTGTCTAGAATATGTGTCCCAAGCGAGCGTTCAGGATCGGCAAGTTTGGCTCTTTCTTCCTCTGCTGTCTCCTCCTTCTTGTATCCATCGTCTTCAGTGGCGTGTATTTCCAAGTTGATCTTTTGCGCTGACTTGGCAATTTCAGCATCAGAGTCATATTCCTCCTCCAAAGCGGCGAGGGCCTCGTTCTTCTCTTTGGCGAGGTGAGCCGAGAAGAAACGGAAGTTGATCTTGTTCTTCTCAAAGTACTGAGCCCAAGCTTCTCTCTGCTTCAGACTCAACATATCCGCCTTGTTGACCAACAGCAAGTTCTGCTTTCGAGGATCAATCTCCTTGACGTAACTCTCTAAATCCTCCGAACGGAACTGTAACGGGTTTCGCGCATCGACAATCTGCACGATAAGATCGGACCGCTCAATGACACGCCACAGTTGGCGCCAGACCTCCAGATTGCGCTCGAATGGAGTCATCAGCAGATCGTGGTTCTCGATCAGCTCGGCCAGTCCTCGTCGCCAGTCCAACAGACTTTGTTTCTCCATCGTTTCTAATTCATTTCGAGTCGTGGACTGGTCCCACTTGGGTCGTCGGGGAACAGTGAGGCGGTCCTTGTTCTTCTGGTGCTTAATGAAAGCCTTCTTCTCTTCGGTGGGGGTGAGAAGGAAGGGGTTCTTCTGATCGGAGTGGATGATCTTGACGTTGTTGATTTTTTCAGCGGTAAAGTCAGTTCCGGCCAGTTCGGCAGTACTCAGGAATTCGTCGAGTGCGGCCTGCTCAGTGATACTGCGCATCTTGACCCATGATGCCTCCTTTGCCTCGTTGGTGACGTAGGTTTCACCATTGACACCTGTGCGCTGGATGGCATTATTGTGAGAGACCTTCTTCAGAGAGGATGCTTTGCCCTTTCCGAACCGATCGTTCATGAGACTGGCACCCAGTCCCATAGATTTCTTGGATTTAGGCAAAACCATGATGGCGATGCTTAAGATGAAATTGAAGAAAAATTGAAGAAAGTAAAAAATCAAGTCGAGGAGGCACAACCCCCACCTGAAAAGGGAATTTTGGATTATTCAGACGGATAAGATAACGCTGACTCAGCCCCCTCTATCCGGCCTGTACAATGTTGTAGGCAAGTATATGGCCATGTC